CGCAGGCTCCCGCAGGGAGGGCCTCTGCCGTCCCGCCCTGTCCGGAGGAGCGTCAGGCCAGGGCGGGGGGATCAGAGAGAAAACAGGTGCCCTTCACGCCCACCCACCTTCCTCCACCAGTGTGACGCTGTAAGAGGTCCATCCAGAGAGCTTGGACTGTCTGCAGCAGGAGCTGGGGGCAGCCGGCACAGCGTGGATGCTGGATGCGGCCCTCTCACTGGGAAGGGCCGGCTTGTCTGCCACAGTGCTTGCTTCCAGACCGTTTGGTTTTAAAGAGCGGTACAAGAGCTGCTGAACATAAATGTAAAGAAATGACTGGTGAAGAGCAACTAATTGCACTCCAGTTGCCTTCCCTGTGGCAAAGGGCCTTTGTCTCGGGGCCAGGAGCGTGAACAATGCTCTGCCGTTGCTTGTGGTGTACAGGGGGTCCTTCAGCATCTGTGCTGAAGACAACTAGGCATTATGAGGGGCTAGCGGTATGCGTGCCAGCATTGGTAATTGCTTCACTCTGAGTGTGCAAGGGCTTAATTGCAACTGATTAAAAAGTTTAGGGAACACAGCACTTCCTTCAGGGTGCGAGTGTGGCTTGGGGGGAGCTCAGGCTGGTGATGTAGGTGAGGCTTGGCACAGCAGTAAAAAGAGACATGGAATAGAGGTTTCAGCCCATCTCTTAAAAAAGAATGAGCTTTTTGGCTTTTCATGAGTTTATGAACATGATTTGACTAATCACTAACACCCACACCACCGATTACTAGTCATTGTAAAATGTTGCAAAGCAACTATATTTCTGCAGTGTTCTTGACACTTACCTGTTGATCCAGACATCCCTGGAGTCAGTGTTACGATGCTTACTAATCTGTGATGCTGGGAGGGTTTCAGAGTTGTGTTGCAGGGGCTGGGATGCTGCCATTATCTTGGTTGTCCGGAGATGTCTTTTATTCTTCATGAACAGCACTGAGCTTCCAAGAAGCAAAGTCCTTATTTCCAGAGCCGGCCTGTTCTTTAGTTTGTTTTACTTAAGCATGAACAATACCGGAGTCTCCAGTACAGGTCCACTACCTCATTACGTTGCACTGTATGCTGTGTACTAATAATATGTTAACAAAGTTAATGCACCTCCATACTACAAATGCTGACTGATAGAATAGTTAGGGAATTTTCCTAACTATCATTGTCTTCGTCAGACCACAACCAGAATAAATCCCGGAGTAGGATTTTATCAGAACAAATAATGTTGTTGATGCGCTACAGAAAGTGCTGACTTGTATCGTGGTCTGTTGCAGAAAATGCACTTACTTATACATTTATTGGATGTTCATCACCCTTTTCCCCCGCACATTACCACTCAACACAAGAAGTCTCAAATTCAGCTTGCCTTTTTCCATCAGTTAAAAAAAAAATAAGAAAATCTTCATTTAAATGAAGCAGTAAAACCAGCTTTTTGCTTTTACCCATTCTACTTGTGCTCATTATGGCTCCATTTCATTAAAATCTTGCACAGATAAGTACATTTCTGACTTACACTCGTGCAGGTGTGATTTGCGACCTGTGCAGTAGTGTTTTGTAAAGTTCCTTGTACTTTCATTTAAGTGGAATTTTTTTTTTTTAATTTAATAAGCACTTACATGCAAGTCTGAAGAGTTGAGTCCCCTCTGAACTACTAACGTGGAACCACTTTTCCACCATTCTGTCACAATTATTTGCAGCAGTGTTTGACCTTGAGCTATGTGAAGCGGGTAGAGTAATTCTTAAAGAATGGCTAATTTGCTCTGAATCTTACTGAACAGGTTTTTCCAAAGCCTGGAAACTGCTATTATGAACCACTTGGCAAATCGTAATTGGAGTTTTGTGGTTGGAAACACAAACCAGACTTTTCTAAGTTAGTGTGTCTGTAATGTAGGCACAACAGACCTGTTCTGCTTCTTTGCTGTAGCGCAGACTCTCACCCTTCCTGTTGTCTGTTCCACAGGTAGCTCGTTGCTGCTTTTGCTGCGTGCCTGATGGAGAGGGTAATTACATTTCCACTGCACAATTCACCTCGCTTGCGGCCTTCAGACCAAAGCCAAGAGAGGAAGGACACAGCTGCAGACGGAGAGCTGCTTGTATCCTCGTTCTCTAGCGTAGCACACCAAAGCAGCTGAAGTGCTCGGAGTTAGGCTAGGGAAGGAAACAAGAGATGTCACAATACCACTTTAAAACAACAGGCTACTTAATAATTCCTTAAACGACATTTCATTACTGCAGCGTACAAAGTAATCTCTGCTCTTTGCAAGCTTGTGGGTGTGACTGACTGCTGCGTTTTTGGCTCAGCAGCTTTCCAGAGACTGCAGTTCAGGAGAGAGTTAGGAAGGGAGTGCCCTGTTTGCAGACCTGGTACAGTCAGGGTTATCAAATTGGACCTGCCAGAAGAATGTCATGCAGGTAGGGCAATTTAAATGGCCCAGGTGCTCAGAAACTAGCCACCAGGACAGGAAGCTGATACAAGCCAGGATTTCAGTGGCAGTCCAGTTTCGTTCAGTAAAGACTTAAGTCATGCCCTGAGGTCAAGGAAATGTTCAAGTGTTGCTCTGTATCACGCTTTCCTAAGTCATGCCGTGGGTATTTTGCCGTGTCGTCATGAAGCCAGCTGCTGTTTTCAGTTCTCAATAAATTTGCAAAAGCTTTCTTCTTTCCTGTCTCACACAGCTGATGCTGAAGGGCACGCTGAAAAAAGGGGTGGCCAGACTGTGATTTACGATGAGAAGAAAGGCACCGTGTACGGTTATGCCTACTTCCACTTCGTTTTCTTCTTGGCTTCGCTCTACGTGATGATGACAGTAACTCATTGGTTCCAGTAAGTGTATTTCCTTAAAGCTGAGAAATTATATGTGTTGAGAGGGAAGATGTGAATGGGAACTTCTGCCGCTGGTATCTGTTCTCTCCCTAAGTAAGAAGTTGGAAGAGACGTTGCAAGTCTTTTTCAGGTGATTCTTGAGCAAGATCTTGCCCTGTGAAGGGCAGCTCTCCACTGCTTCCTGTCTGGGTTAACCAGGTTGAAGCCTGTGACCCACTTGGAAAAACAGAGGATACTGTAGTCTGAGATATGAATAGTGAGTTTATTGCTTCTTTTTTTTTTTTTTTTTTTTTCTTTTTTTTTTTTTTTTTTTTTTTCTCCTCTCCCTTAACAGTTACGAAAGTGCTCAGATTGAAAAATTCTTCACCGGCACCTGGTCCATCTTCTGGATTAAGATGGTCTCCTGCTGGATTTGCGTCTGTCTGTACTTATGGACTCTTATTGCTCCACTCTGTTGCCCAACCAGAGAGTTCTCAGTGTGAACACTCAGAAGGTCCCTCTGTGTGGGGTTGGTTTTGGTTGTTGTTTTGGTTTTGGTTTTGGTTTTTCCTAGTTACAAATAAAAACACAACAGTCATTTTGTAATGAGGAAACGCCTACTGCCCACTTACCATAATGTACTAGTTAGTAACTTTTTAGTCAGACTAAACAAATAATTGAAGACTTTTACCCTTTTATAATTGTCATGAACAAACATTACCCAAGGGAAAAAAATCTGTTTCAAAACTTTGTCGTGCTGATGTATGTATGGAGTTTAGGAGGCACAGTTGTTGCATGAACTGAAATAAGTGAAATGCTTTTCAAATAACTGACAATCTTCCTCTGACTTCATTGGTAAGAAAAGAAAAAATTACGGTGCAGATGTATCTTCTTCCTTCCTGTGAATGTTGGATATCCTCTAGCAAATATGCATTCCTTTTTATACTCTTTTATTAACTGACTTTTACAGTTTGCAGTGGTGATTCGGACTGCTGTTTTGTACAGCATACAATTCTTGTAAGTAGTATCCAGGTAATTTTTTTCCAAAAACATAACTAAATACTTCTGTAGAAATAGAGAATATGTGAAAATTTGACTGCCAAAGCATCTACTAAAAATTGTTTATCTAAATATGAACTATATTAAGTTATTGTATACCTAGATTGAGAAAGGAATGTACCAATGATGATAGAGTATTTATTCTATTATAACTTTAAAAGGCACCTGAATATTTTATGCAGCTCAGATCTGGTCCAGTTTTTAACAGAAGGGGAGTTTTACACACAAATTCTTAAACTCTGAATTTTGTCCAACTTTGCTTTGCCAGCTCACTTAAACTGCAAGTTTTGTGTACTGCATGGGGATATAAGATACGGTACATTCTTTATTCAGAATTTTTGCAGTTGAGAAAAGGCTAATTACAGGAGCACTGCCAGTTGCTGTTAACTTTAAAAGCGGAGTGCTCGTTTACTTTTCTACCCTGCTGTTTCAGCTTGTGTCCAAAGGTCTCCCAGGATCTGCAGTTCTGTTTCCAGTACTAATTTTATAATAATTTAAATGGAGTGATGGTCAGAAAAGGACTACAGTGCGTCATCGTCCTTTTCTGCCTGTGTGTTGGTCGGAAAGTATTCTTTCTGCCTGCTATATTTGTATACTTCTCTGTTGATGTTAGTTTTGCTCTTGGGATGGAAGTTAGCCAACCAGTCCATTAATGGAGGCTAAACTTCTGGAGAACTCCTATTCCAAGCAGGGGGATAAGCAGTCAGAAAAAGAAAACCAGAAGACACAAATACAACAGCGGCTGCCTTAGTACAAATGACTGACTTGACAATATTAAACCCTACCGTGTCGCTTTTATTTGCTCTAAGCAGATGACGTGGTGATAGAACAACAGCTCAGATGCCCTAGACGTTGGACCCACTGTAGTTATCTGTATTCTGGTGGGGTGAACTTGTGACCTACGCTAGTCCCAGAGATTTTGTCTTCTTCCCCCTTCCCCCCACCTCCCTCCAGTGTGAAATATGCAGGATATGAACAAAATCAACTGATTTAGCGGTTCTTTTTTTGAAATATGATTGAGCCTTAAATCTTCACCCCATGCTTTCTGCAAAATAAAGCAAAGCACAACATAGTGGCCAATGAGATGGCCAAAATACTTGCACACCTTACTTGTTCTGTTGCAATAGCTGATGGCTGGTGCACACCTGGTGAGTAATGCTAACGTAACTGATCTCAGTTCTGCTCTTGTTTTCATTACCATTTTTAGCTGCCTTGTTGCTGTGGTATCCTTGAGTTTCCATCCTGCTTGGAGCTTGCTAGGGGTGCCATCTTCCCCACCTCGTGCGCTCTCACCTCAAGTAAAATCTACAGGTCTGCGGTCCTGTATACTTATACCACCTGCCCTAGTGGTTTGGAGCCTCAAAATACCTCTGTCACGAGATCGGAGGGAAGGGGGAGTCTGTCTGGAAGTGACCGTCTGGCTGCTCTTCCCTTTGTTTGGGCCTAGGGAAAAAAAGCAGGGGGAAAAAAAAAAGCGCTTAGCTTTGACATTGAGTTAGAAAAGCAACAAGTAGTTCTGGAGAGGGAGGCAGGTCCTTGTCTTTCCTTTTGCTTCTGCTGGGAGGTTCTGATCTCACCAAGAGCTCTGCTAGCACGGGGGCCCGTTGGTGTGTCTCTGCCTGCATTTGGAGTCCAGCCACGCAGATCCTCCTGCGGCAGAAAAAGGCCCTGGTTAATGCGTTCGCAGTCTAGAAGCCTTTATCTCTCCCATCTCTGTGATAAGAGCTTGGGCTGTGCAGTGGTGACTAACAGTTGTCCCACCTAACTCAAAGCAGACAGACAACCTTGATCCAGTGCTGGAGCTGTGAGCTGCCGCCGAGAGAGTCCAGGCTCTTGCTTCTCCGGTGGTGAACGCTGTTCTCCGCAGTAGAGAGGCCTGCAGAAGTTGCCTGCTAGTGCTATATGTGTTGTACTGTGAGAAACCAAGCATCGGGGGTTTTGTTTATAATTAGCATTGTTTTTTATAACAGAACAATCTGGGCAAGGAGCTCTACAGCAGAAGGCATGCACTATGTCAAGTTGTAAGGCAGGGAATGGTTAACTGCTCTCTGGTTCTGATAGCAGGCATTCCAGTCACAAATGCGGATGGTCTTAACACATATCTTGGCCAATGGATGTTCTTATTTGTTTATGAAAACGCTTGTTTGACGTAGGCAGTATCTGCCTGCATAAAGGACTTCCTGCACCTCCTCGTGCTCATTTTTTTTTATACTTTTTATTTAAGGAAATAGGTTTTGCACAGAGGAAACAGGATTGCGAGAGGAAAGTCGACAGTGAGGCATGAGTCCATTCTTCTTACACAACACTCGCCTTACAGAGCGTCTCCTCTGTCCTTCCCTTCCACCAAATACTGACCATAAGCATCTAGATCTGGGGGTATGCGTAGGGTGGGAACGGGGCAGTGCCTGACTACACTGCTTTGTCTGCTTCTGAGCAAACACTGTGCTAAAAGACCCCGAAATTAACTTTGAGGACCTGCATGTCCATGCTGTGGCCGCAGCTCCCGCTGTGGATCTCCAGGCCATTCTGAGGAATCAGTAACTGATGGCACCTGGGTGTGCAAAGCCTCTAGTTCCTCAGTGAGGCACGGCTTCCTGCTGGCCAGGCAAATGTTACAGCCTCAGTGCTCGCTGTAAAATCTGTACTGTGAACTTCCTTGTGCAACTACTTCTTAAAGTCTTGGCTAGGGTCTAGGATTCAAATGCCCAGTTCATAGATTCCACACAGTTCATGCAAATGAGCTTTTAAAACCTTTTTAAGAAGTGCCTTCAAACCTACTGCTGTGATAGCCAGTAATTCAGGTGGCACTGGAACCAGAAAACCTGAACTGAGCCTGCGACTGGGTGATGCTGCCTTGTACATTATGCCAGTGTGTACAAGGCACGGTCAGACCCGTGGTGCATGTGGAAGACCAAATAATCTGTGCTTGACAAACCTTTGGGGATGAGACCGATTCGGGTAGTACTGTACAGTGGGAGATGAACTGGGAAAACTCGCTAACAGCCTGATGCTTTTGTAAATAAAGCTTAGAATCACAGGACGGTTTGGGCTGGAAGGGACCTTAAAGAGCATCCAGTTCCAACCCCCCTGCCATGGGCAGGGACACCTTCCACTAGACCAGGTTGCTCAAAGCCTCATCCAGCCTGGCCTTGAACACTTCCAGGGATGGGGCATCCACAGCTTCTCTGGGCAACCTGTGCCAGTGCCTCACCACCCTCTCCAGGAAGAACTTTTTCCTGATATCCAATCTAAATCTCCCCGCTTTCAATTTAAACCCGTTACCCCCTGTCCCGTCACTACAGGCCCTTGTAAAAAGACTCCCCCAGCTTCCTTGTTGGCCTCTTCATGGAAGGCTGAGCCGTTGTTGCTTACATTTCTGTTTAAACTGTGAAAGGTTAACTTTCTGTCCTGGTGCCTGAAGTGCAGGCAGGTGCTCTGCTTGAGGTGGTTAGCTGTGCATTGTCTGTCCTGCCTTGTGTCATGGTTGTTCGCTGCGTTTGTTCCCAGACATTCCCAGTGCAGCATTCTTGGCTCTTAGTATTTTTGGGCTGTGTTTGTGCTGAGTTTCCTCTAGTTAAACTCGAATTTGAACTAATGCTATCATTCAGTGGTTTCTTGGAGGAACAGAACGTGTTGGCAGAAGTCAGTTCTGGTGGGAACATGGCACAATTTTATTGCCATTTTCCTACTTTCCAAATTGGTGGCCGTAAGAAAGGTTACTTGGAACCTCACTACTGCCCAGCTGTCTGAGACTGGAACAATTCTGGTTTTCCTCATGAAGGCGACCGAGAGCCACAGTCGTGACTAGTTCTTGTCGGGGGCAAAAACAATGGGACGGACCCAGGGAGCAAATCTCTGACACCAAGTAGCCGGACTGACAAACGAGACCGTAAAACCTCACGAAGAAGGTGTGGAAAGCAGATGGATACGCTTGCTGGCGGTTCACCACCTCACTTCTCAGAGCGTGCAGGCAGCCCTGGGGGCTGGGTGCCGGCCAAGGAGCTCCGCTGTGATCACACATTGGAGTTAATGTTTGTGATACTCTTAGCTTCATGCTTGAAGCATTTCCATGGGGTTCAAAAAGCTCGTACTTGCCCAGCTAATTCGGTCAGTCCTGGCTGGGTTGGGCCACTTTCGTCTGAAACGGGTAATTCAGTGTTGCTGAAGTTTGCGTAGTCCAGAGGGAGGGCTTATCCCAGCACCGCCAGCACGGCGCGTCTATTTATTTATTTATTTAGTGTTTTAGCACCTTGTTTTACGCACCTAGAAGCGCTTTGAGATTATAAACACTGCACACGTAACTGCTTCGTCAGCCCCTGGTGCAGCCCTTTCTGGGCGAGAACATTGCTGTTAATGCAGCGACTGTTGCACTTGCGAAAAAGCTGGTTTTTAACAGTTCTCTGGTTTTGACCAATGCATTAGGAGAATTGGGGAACTCAAGGTA